TGAAATATTGTATTTCTCGTTTTTTATTGCAACTCTACAAGGAAAAAAATGTAAATAAGAATGGTAATTTTATATTTTTTTAATTTAAAAATGTTAATTTTATCAGTTTCTAAATAAAAATATTAATTTTTAATTTTTTTTATTTAAGAACGCTAATTTTTAACATTATAGATAAAAATCTATTTGTCATATTTGTATCACCATTCAATTAATCTTTAAAAAGAAAAAAGTTAAAAGTGGGTATCTTTAATTTGAAGAAAAAAGGATACAAATAAGAATACCAAATTTATACCTTTTTCTATTTAAATATGTTAACTTTATCAATTTCTAAATAAAAATATCAACTTCAACCTTTTTTATTTAACAATGTCAACTTTCGACATTCTGAATAAAAAGTCAATTTACCATATTAGCGTCACCATCCAATCCAATTAATCATTAAATAAAAATCCTTATTTGCTTCTTTTCACCAATTGAAAATTTAAAAATTTACTTTATTAAATATTAATTCTTTTTTTTTTGATATGATTAAATATTAATTCTTATATTTGGAAAAAAAATTCCAATTCAAAATTCAAAAATTCACTTTATTAAATGTTAATACATGAATTTAAAAACATATTATAATACATGGATTTGGAAACACATGTATCAACATTTAATAAGGTGAATTTTTAATTTTTGAATTAGATTTTAATTAAATGTCAACACTAATTTGCATTTTTCCCATATGTTTTTATTGATATCTTTGTTTTCTTTTTCTTTTTCTTTTTTTGTAATTTGTGTTAAGTAAAATTGTGATAAGTAAAATTAGAACACTAATTGATATACATTTTAATTCAATATACTATACAATATACTCATTAAAAAATCATTTTTTTATATGAAATTAAAAGTAAAAAAATTTAAAAATACAACCATACATATAAAATGGAGAAATCAACTAAATCTAATGTACTTATATATTTTAATAACTAAACTAAGATAAATGTCAAAATATGTATTGAACTGGGTGTGTATCAATTATTTTCAGTAAAATTAATATTAATATTTGGAAGAGGGAGGATGTTGGTTGGTTGCGGGTGATTTTAATGCTGTCAGGAGTCTAGAAGAAAAAAGGGGAAGGACAAGGGAGAAAGCAGAGATGGGAGAATTTAATGATTTTATTGAGACAACGGGTTTGGTTGATATTCGATTGGTGAATCGACGTTTTACATGGTATAGACCAGATGGGACATCCATGAGCAGATTGGATAGATTTTTACTATCTACGGAGATGTGTAACATGAGTGGGGAATGGGTACAACATGGGTTAAAAAGAACTATATCAGATCATTGTCCCATTATCTTGAAATCCAGAATAGTAGACTGGGGGGCCAAAACCATTCAGAGTATTAGATGCCTGGCAGCAGCATCCAGATTTTAAGAAGACCGTCGAGGAAAAATGGGCAACCTTGAAGGTGGAGGGATTTGCAGGTTTTAGATGCAAACAGAAGCTAAAATTGCTGAAAGAGTGTTTGAGAGGCTGGAACAAAGGTGTGTTTGGGGATATGGAGGCGCAATTTGATAATGCTGTACAGAAGGTGGAGCATGTTGATATGAGGAATGAAGAGTATGTATTAGAGGGATTTGAGGTGGCCCAACGACAGGAAGCTTTTCAAGAGCTATGGGAGATTATAAGAAAAAGAGAAAACATCTGGAGACAAAAGGCTAGGTGCAATTGGCTGAAAATGGGCGATGCGAATACAAGATACTTTCACAAAGTGGCAAACGGTAGAAAGGCTCACAATGGTATTACAGGTCTTTTTAGTGACGGTAGGTGGGTGGAGGAACCAGAGTTGGTGAAAAAATTGGTAGTCAAATATTTCAGGGAATTGTTTCAAGGAGAATCATGGAGTAGACCTAAGCCGGAGGGTGTCACTTTCAAACAAATTACTAAGGAGCAGCAGGAGTGGTTAGAAAGGCCATTTTCAGTAGAGGAGATTGAAGAAGGGTTGAAGAGCTGTGATGGGAATAAAGCACTAGGGCCAGATGGTTTCAATTTCAATTTCATCAAATTTGTCTGGAGCAGTCTGAAGGAGGATTTTGTCAGCTTCTTTGAGGAGTTTCATCAACGTGGTAGGTTAGTAAGAGGGTTAAACTCTTCTTTTTTAACGTTAATTCCTAAGAAGCTTAATCCGAGGGAGTTGAAAGATTATAGACCTATTACTTTGATTGGGTGTGTATATAAATTGCTGGCAAAGGTGTTAGCTAACAGAATAAAGACTGTGATGCCTGAGATTATCACTGATACCCAGTCGGCTTTTATGGGGGGTCGTCAATTGGTGGATGGTGTTTTGATTTTAAATGAAGTGGTTGATGAAGCTAAAAAGAGGAAGCAACAAGCTTTTATTTTCAAGGCAGATTTTGAAAAG